GTGACCATTCAAATGACTAACAGGATTCGCGAAACATCAATTTACTTGGTTCATGGAAAAAGGAAACCTCATGATGTGCAGACAATGCGAAGTGATTAGCACATGTTCCGAATAGTTGACTATACTCGTCTTCGACGAGGTATCTCTTGCGCTATTGAAACGTCTCTCAGGTTTTGGGAGGGGAGCACAGAACCATAACATAGCAGCCCAGTGATTACAATCAGTATCGTACGGCGAAATACAGTAAAGCGAACTTTACTGATCGTTGCAATGCATACAAGGATAGTGGTAAAATATAAGATGGACAGGGATCGTTTCATGAACTTGTGATCGGTTGAGAAAAAAGGTTGTATTCTTTTATGATTAGACCAATTGAGACGAAACGGTGACAATTTCGATATACACAGAAACGAACTTATGGCGTCCGCTATGATCCACGAAGCGTTTTTGGTGATGTCATAGAAAAGGAAAAGTACAGTTCACGGTTTAGATTACATCGCAGATCAATCATTGTCGCTAAGCTGAGTTCGTTGAAAGGGACCCGTACTGTTACCACATTATCACACCAGAAAAAGTGTTTAAACCTCACCACTACCACTTGACTTTCTCTATTACGTGTTGTATGGTAGCTCTTTGATTTGCCGATTTCCGGTTCCCGAAATCTGTATCTTTGTGTACTCAATAAAAGTAAAAAAAACAAAAAAAAAATTAAGTCAGAAAACGCATAACCGAAAACAAGTAAAATGACTTCGATTGGACGTCCGTAGTACGGAGCGATTTCTATTTCACGATACCCGGCTATCATAACCCGTTGTCCGGTATGTTCAAACGTTTCTGGTACACGATATGTCTATTTCATTTAGTGACAGTTTGACAAACCTACTAACATCAGTGACTAAGACTAGAGTAATCACGAAATCTAGCATCCGAAATTCACCCATTTGAAGCTGCACGCGGAAATGAATATCCCTGAGGGATCTATCCTGGTGAGATTATAAACGTCTTCCGGATGTTGTCACTTGCAATAATAATCGCAAGCTGAGAAACCACTGCAACAGGCTGATTCGTGGGGATAAGCTGATCTAGCAAGAGGCGCTAGCATAGAGATTCATCTCTAACCCTAATTAGTTGCATAAACATGTAAACTCAGTTTCGGAAAGTTAAGTTTGGTATCCCGGCACTAAACTGTACAGGGAGAGGTGCAGCCACTCCAACGGAAGCAGCCGAAATGCTGAAAACTCAGTATTTCAAAGGTTTCGCTGCACCACAGGTTGAAGGTCTGCAGCACCCTCGCTAGTTGCATCTTTCATATCGTTCGCTGACCAACGTAACATTTACTGCTGAAAACGTCAAAGCAAAACTGGTGGTTCTACGAAAAAATGCAAACCCAGGTGCGGACAATATACAAACAAAATCCCTTATCGTTGGGGGAATCACATATACGAGCCACTAGCTATTCTATTGCAACGAATGTTCGACCAAACAACACACTCGTGGAAACAAGGAATTATTCCACCTATATACAAAGGTGGTTGTCGTAGTGACCCCGCTAGCTGCCGTCCAGCAACTCTATTACCAGTGTTATCTAAATTATGGAGTCAATTGTGCAGATTCCCTGATGGAACACTTTCGACAGCTCAGCACGGGTTTAGATCAAAGTGATCCGGTTCCACCAACTTGCTTCTTGTTCGAGATAAATGGACCAGAACTGTCGACGAAGGGGATGCGGTGGATATGGCATATCCGGACTTCTTGAAAACATTTAATCGAGTAAACCACGAAATTTTCTTACGAACGCTCTACTATTACGGCATTCGAGGTTTCCTGCTGGATTGGATTGGAGCATTCCTCCGACAACGGACCACATCAGTTCGAGTTTCGGAATCCTGATCCGATTCTATTATCGGCACCCGCGGTGTTTCACAAGGATCTATACTTGGTCCTCGACTTTTCCTCGCATTCATAAATGAACTACCGAATACAATGCTATTTACAGACGATACCAAGATCTGGAATTCAGTAACAGAACTCAAAGGCTCATTATCACTTCAAGAAACACTCCACGCAGTTCATCAACGGTCTACGGAGAACGATATTGAATTCAATGTTTCGAAATGCAAAGTCCTATCTCTGCGCTACAGGAGTAGTTTATCACATTTCTTCGTGAATCACCAACTGCCCCATACCTCAAGTGAGAAAGACTTGTTCAAAAGGACTTAAGCTGCTCGATTAATTGCGCCAGGGCTTCCTCCCCTGCTGTGAAAAATGTCAGCTTGTTTAGGCGAGTCTTCGGTCGAATGGAATCATTGTTCACACGTTTACTATCAGTGTACATTCGACCGTACAAAGTACGTCGAGCAAGCTTGAAGTCCCTGGTTGCAACGCGACCGCAAAATGCTGGAGCGTCCGCAAAGGATTGTCCTTAAGATGTTCAAGGGATTAAATTACCTCACATATGAGGACAGGTTACGATCGTTGGGATAATATTCTGCCCGGTACCACCGAATTCGAGGAGACTTTAGTTTAGCATACCAACTACTGCAAAACCAACACCGTCCATGCGGCCGCTTAAGGGACATCGTTTCAAATTACTGATTCCAAAGTGTAGACTGGAATACCAGCGCCAATATTTTGCAGTCGGAGTGTGCAGCACTTGGAACATCCTTCCATTGCGTGTTGTTTGTGCACCAACTATCGAATCTTTCAAGCGGAGACCTGATGAAACCCTAACCCATTTCATATTCCTAAATAAATAAAAACACAAATCAGTTGAAGACTACATAATGTGTTATCTCCTACCTGGAGCTCGCTGTGATATTTAATCATTGTTTTGCAGAGAAACGAATCAATTATGTAAATATCCTATGGGGGGAAGCGAGGCATGAGCTTGTAAGTAATTCCCACAATAAAACTTTGACTTTGACTTATAGTAGTGTCTGCTGACGTCCCATTAGTTCGTGTTTACGGGTCATGACAGTGCCACTGTTTTAGGTATGCGAAATTTTGGTTGTTCTAAATCGTCTGTTCCAATAATAATTTTTCGTTCTCCCACTGCAACTGTTTGGCACCGATGGTAGTGCTCATATCTATGCCACCTACTGACGGTGTGGATCGGATGAAAAAAATCAATGGGCGTCACGTGACGCACAAACGTGTACATAACAAAAGATAATTGTGCGCTACCACCCAATCGTTGCGTTTGGGATGGCCAATTTCGCTGATGATGAGACACTTGTGGATCAAACGGCCTGGCTCAATGAGTTGTATAAACTAAGGAAATCAACAATTGACAAGTACACCTTGATCAATTTGGACCGGACAAAAGCTCGATACGCCCCATTTCAAAAACAAACAGAATGTACATGAGATCGATGTAGGCAAACCGCTGAACAATTCTGCACCGTCAAACACACACGATGTCATATGAAAAATTCTTAGGAAGAAAATCAATAACCGAAAATAACTGAACGCGATGTAGATAATAAGGTTTATATGAGCAAGGTTAGCTACCATCACGCGATCTCACACTTGATTGGAGTTACAGTTTTTATGTAGAAATCTCGGCGAATGCATCAAATGAGCAGAAACGAGAATGCAATCACACTGACTACTCGTACTGGAAGAACAGACACCGGGGTAACAAGTCCCGAAAATGATTAAGGGCAGATTGACTGAAAGGTGATGGTTAGCTGTATGAAAACGACGGTTTTGAACGTGCAACCATGCAAAGCGATGGCACAAAGCATGCGTATGAAACATCAAAATTCCTCACTGTTAACTCACTGAGAAGGATTGTGAATCAATTTTGGTCTGACACTCTGATATCAGGTCAGCGATGGGATCACGAAACGGTGCGTACGTGTCGGACACAACAGACACAGATGTCTCGTCCGCACCTGGTTTCCCACCGGACCCCGAGGGAGCATAGTACACGACTGCGTACAGAGCGGACAGGACAACTGATAAGGTGCTCTCGCTTGTCTCTGCATTGTCCGTGGTATCCCGTGAACGGACCAGCGAAGCAGGCAAACGCAAGGTCCACTCGATCAAGCACATGATCAAACCCACCATAAGCTGTGAGGGCATAATAACGAGATGAAAATTGAACAATGAGAGCTCAAGTCGAAGCCGTATGAATGAATTTACGAACAACAATAGCCATTTGACCACCTCGCAAGCACTGACGATGTCACCACGGCTGGTGGTGCAACGTTTGTAAATAAATTGCGAAGCTCGGCGAATAGACCAAATGGAATTCAGTTCACCGGAGCTGCAAGAACCGAACTTTTCAATTGCAATTTGAAGCATATCGCGAGTTTATTCAGCAATTTAGGTTTGGGCGAGCTGATTCTACAGGGCACCGGGTCTATTCTTAACGCGCTGCTCACAAGACTCAAGTAGGATGAACGAGCTGATC